TAAAATTATGGGTTACAAAGTTAATATATGACAAATTTTAGTAGCAGTATGTTGCACAAAGCATCCTGTTCACGCGGGTTTGCAAAGTCTTAAGTCTTGTATGCGTGGCTCGAACCCATGATCAATAGGCAATACATTCCACTATGGTATTAGACTTTCATTGTTGTATTCGTTGTGTTGCTGAGTAATCATTTGGTTTATAACTGCATTGTTTTCTTCTTTTGTGTTTAATTTGTACACATATAATACAGTAGCTTGCTGCAATGGAACCTTCTGAGGCAACGAAACATGTGTATGAAAAGATCATGAAATCGGAGTCTCAACATGTTGCGAGGGAGATTATGTGCTATATTTTCTTTCAACAATATCCAGAGCAGGAAATGATTCGATTAGCATTAGGCCCTAATACCTTAATTCAAAATGTGATCCAGAAAGCAAAAGATACATTCAACATAAACTCAAATCCAGTGTTCAGTAGCCCTTCTATGACTCCAGACAGTATAGTAGATCCAGCAGTACGGTTTACAAATTTTGCATCCACTTATCCTGTATCGACTCCTCGCTGCAAACCTCAACTCTCTGATGAACATTCTCATTTACCTTTAATTCCTTACTCCAGCAATGAGCCGCCGCTGCAACAGTTCCACCAACTTGAAGATACAATGTACTTTGGGACTTTGAATTACCCAAGTGATTACTGCTATCCAGAAGTTCCCCTTATCAGGCGCTACAGAAATTCTCCAAGTTCGTTTCAATCTCCGAAGCCTTGCCACTATTTCAACAAAGGGTTCTGTAGAAATGGTGACAGATGTAGGTACTTTCATGGTCCTCCATCTTCCGAGAACTACCCTCTTACGATGGATCCTAATCTTTGTGAAAAGGGTGATGAAGATGAAGTACTTTCACCTGGTTCCCTCGATAAATTAGAGCTAGAGATAACGGAGCTCTTGAATGATAAGAACGGGAATCCTGTTTCAATTGCATCCCTGCCCATGATGTATTATATGAAGTACAAGAGAACACTCCAAGCGGAAGGGTATCTGACGGAGAGCCAAAGAAATGGTAAAGCTGGCTATAATTTGACAAAGCTTATTGATCGATTGAAGTATGTTCGTCTGATTGAAAGGTATTTTACCTGTACTCTTGTTTTGTTTCTTATCTAGTCAAACGGTCGTTAGTAATTTCTATGCTATGTGTTTCAGGCCTCATGGACAACATTCTGTAGTTCTGGCTGAAGATGCAGCTAAGTACATGGACACTCATGGTGTAAGAAGTGATCCAGGTCCTATCGTTAGTGATTCACGTCAAATATATTTGACATTTCCTGCTGAAAGCACTTTTACGGAGGAAGATGTTTTTGCTTACTTCAAGTATGCAACGCAACATGTGACGTTTTTTATGTGCTTTGCCTTTTATTAAGCATTCAATACTTCTCTTATTATCCTTTTGTTTTTTGTTTGTAGCACTTTTGGGCCAGTTCAAGATGTACGAATGCCATGTCAGCAGAAACGAATGTTTGGATTTGTTACATTCTTCAGCACAGATACTGTAAAAATGGTTTTGTCAACCGGAAATCCACATTATGTGTGTGGTGCTCGCGTTCTTGTCAAACCTTACAGAGAGAAGTCTAAGCTATCTGAAAGGTACTTTATCATACTCCAATTTTCTTAATGGCACATCTTGATAGCTCGATTAAATTGACCTCTAGCAACTCTCTGCATGTTTTGGTGTGGGGAAGCCTGGTGTTACGTTGAGAATTTAGCTTCTTCTTTTCTTCCATTTCTGTGAACTGTCGTGTAAATATGAAGTGGACTACTAACTAGTTCACAGTAAAGTAACCGTCTAATCCTATTTCCTCTCCTGCAGAAGGCACCAGGAGAGACTGGATTCGTCAATGTATTACCACTTCGATTCTAGGCTTCAAGAAAGTAAGACATTAGCACCTGAATTTCTACTCACTTTGTAGATCGAATTTAGTTATTTCTTTACTGAAATCAGGGTGGATGCACCTACGGTAATTTTTAAAAGAAACTAAATATACATATAATATGCACTGAAGGTCTTTCGAAAACAACCTTTCTACCTGACAAGGTAGGGTTAAGATCTTTGAGCACTCTACATTCCCCCGACCATACAAGGTTTAGTTACTTTACTGTGTGGATGAACATCCATTTCTCTAAATAGTTCTCATAAATTCACCTTTTGTCTGCTCTCTGCATTTGCCCTCTTTGATCTGATACATGCATGATCTGCCAACAGAATTTAAGTCCCCTAGAATGCTACGGAAACATTTAATGGAAGAGCAAATTATTCTTGAACATGAGGCCAGGCGACTTGCACAGCTGCAGTTATCGCGAAAACGCATGGCCACTCCGCCCTATTCTGGCCCTCCCATGGACGAAATTAACATTTCTCTACGTATGTATACACTCTTTGTTATTGTTATTTACTCTAGCCACACACTTCCAGTTATTTATTTAAGTATGCACTGATTTTCTTTACTGCGTATGTCAGCAGAACATTCCAGCCATATTATAGATGTTCGGGACAGTGTATCCCCGGATGAAGATAATCCCGAGAATTCAGAAAGCCATTATGCTGATGACAATAGGTATACAAGTCCTCTCTTTTTACTTTGTTGTTTGCTTGTCAACCAAATACAAAATAAGTTCCAAAAACCCAAAAAAATGTCGTCTTGATGTTGCGTTACATAGTCTTTCGGTTTGTTTTCATATCGTTCCAGAAGAGCGTAGAGTATTTACAACCTTGCATTATGTCTCTGCACTCTCCTCATTTGTCCCGCAGACAGGTTAAAAACGTATGTCAAATAGTTTGAATGTTAATTTTGTAACATAGCGTAACAGTTTGCTTAATTGAGCCTTATACTTCAGTTGGACTCATTTTAGTTCTTTTCGTTGTTGTATTGATGCAGCAATCAAAGAATCATCCTGCCAGACAGTCCATTCGCATCAACAGTAGTAGCAAACAGTATAGCTGAATTTCTATAGGTTTGGATACTTGTTATTTTGGTATGCAACTCTACTTCAAAGGCAGCATCTTGAATTCGAGGGAGAATACGTAGTACATATAGCATTAGAGAACAGCAGAAATAGATCCTCCACACAGCCGGAGCTAACGTAACTACACCAACTAGGAAAATATGATACACAGGCTCACACCAGATAGAATAGAGCACAGAGGTCATTATCCTTAGCAAATAATGAAATATATAGTACAACTTTAGTTGATAGAGAGGATCAATAGCTTAAAAAATAGTACAAACTTTTTATGTTCCTTTTGCTGTTTTGCAGAAGAAAATATGTAGACATGAAGTTTGTTTCATGATACGTTTGTCTTTGGTTTTTGTGTTGGACAACTAAATCGCATGTTTACATTATATCAATAGATAGACACTCATTTTCTTTCAAACCATTACATTGTATCTTGAATGTATTCGTCACGCCCCTAACTAACATCAAGATGTACTGTATATTTATTGATTTGTAATACTCTCTTGGTCCATAATTGTTTGTCAATGTAAGGTCATGCACAGTCCTCAAAGGTATAATTTCACTAATATAATCCTACTATATTAAGAATATCAAAAGTCCACAAATCTTTTCAATTGAACTACACTATCAATTTACTATTAAGGATAAATTTGGAAAAAAGTGATTAATTAATCTTAGACATTTATTTTTATTATGTCTGTTTTTAAGGGTTAAAATTAAGTTTGCCGTGTTTGACTGGTTTGTGGAGACCGAAGGAGACAATCCACATAACAAGAAACATAATTTCACACAAATGTCTTTAGTTTTGGATATATGATAATATTTCCATATCAATATATCATATATCAATATATCATATCTAATATATCATATCTTAAAGTAACTTTGTTGCGGAATAAATTTATTTATTTATATTATAATAATATTTTATAAGTTATGTTATTAAAGATATGTGAAGTTATATTTTATTTCTGAAAGGGCATAATATATTTTGTTTTATAACACAAATCCACTCGTATTACACTTATCATGACATATTAGTTATTAGTTATGCGAAATAAAGTTTTAAAGGCATTATTTAATCCATAAGTTCAATTACTAAACAATACGATAAATTTCGACAAATATTTGCATCGCATACCTTAGTTTTGAGAATATTTTTTATAAACATAGAAGAATAATTGATTGAATTATTAATTAACCTCTTATTAGTTGCACAAAAGAAATGTTATTATAGGCTTCCGCGATTTCTATTCATGTTTTTTTCTTTCTTTTGTTCACCTTATAAGTGTGTTTTGATCCACAAATTTTCAATAAATGAGTAGTATGAATAATGATTAATGAACACCGAATTTAAAGTATTGAAAACATTCTTAAATTTGACGTAAATTATTAGTTTCATTCTTGAATTATTGATAGCCTCTATTTGGGTAACTAAACTTAGATACATTTCTGACGTGCCACAAAATATTGTAAGTGGTCTCAAACTTTTGTAGATTCCTAGTACTCTTATTTAAAAAAAATATTGAAAACACTCCTAAATTTGACGAGAATTTAGGAGTGTATTTCACTCATGTTATAAGACCAGTGGTGTATTTAAGTTCACTTAGTTAAGTTAAAGAGTATTTATAAGGCTATCAATTGTTTAAGAACATTTTCAATACTTTGGAGTCATTTGCACTTTTAGCCTATTTTGTGCTAGTTTCCAATTTATGTCCCTCAAAACAAACAAAACTTATATAAGGCATAAATTTATGTTTTCGTACCATAATATTTTACAAGTTATTTTTGAGTATAATTTTAATCTTATGCTCGTAGAAAAATTAAATATCAATCCATTTAAAAAGCAAAACGTGCAATCTCACGGGTAAAAGCTGCTAAACAAACTGGGCCTTCAGCCTTTTTGACTGGGCTATCTATTTACATTAATTTGGGCCTAGGTAGAACAACGGGCCTTATTAATCAGAAAGGCCCAGCCCGTTAACAAAGAGGAACAAATACAGAGACTGAACTTTGCATTTTCCGATCGTAAAATTCAACTGGAGTATCCGCCGCCGGCAAGTGACCAGAAGAAGAGCAGCTAAGAAGGAAGATGAATACTGATATCACAGCATCGGCAAAGCCCGAGTATCCAGTTGTAGATCGAAACCCACCGTTTACTAAAACCGTCGGTAATTTCAACACACTCGATTACCTCCGGCTCACCACCATCACCGGGATTTCTGTCACCGTCGGATACCTCTCCGGTAACTTCTCTATCCTTTACTGTTATCATTCATTCGATTTACTGAAGCTTAAATTGTAAATCTGTTTGGATTTGTCATTTGGATTACACTTTTTATGGAGCCGGGTAGTGCTGAGGGGTTTATCCGATTCTCCTTCGGTGGAAAGTCATATAATTTATACATGGTATATTAGATGTTGAAGCCCTTTAGCTTATTCGTGAGTTTAGTTCTTGGTATTTTGAATCACTTAGTGAAAATTCTTGTTACGTCACTGTAATTATATTTTGGGAAGGAACTAGAAGGTAGGAAGCTGGTTTGACAGAATTCAGTAGTTTTGGTTCAAATCATATATTTATCTTAAGAAATTTATGTAGACATTATTAGTTTGGAATCAGTAATTCAAAAGGAGTATAATCCTGAACCTGTAAGCTTCAAATTCAAATCCTAGCTCAGCTTGTGCTAACATAAGCAAGTTATCTCCTTTGTTATTGATAAATTTTGGATTTTGGGCAGGAATAAAGCCAGGGATTAGAGGGCCATCGATGGTTACCGGAGGTTTGATTGGGCTAATGGGTGGTTTCATGTATGCTTATCAGAATTCAGCTGGCAGGCTCATGGGTTTCTTCCCAAATGAAGGAGAGGTAGCCAAAGCCAAGTACAAGATTTAACTGCTTCCCTTAATTTTCTGGTTCTTTTGGATTCCCTTTTGTAGTTTCCCCAAGATGTTATTAAAACAGTGGGCATTCTCTCTTCTCATGAGAACTTTGTTGAAAGTAATACCATTAATAATCAGTCTCTGGTTACCAACTTAATATGATTTCTTGTGTTGCGATGAATCATGTATTATTGTTACTTGCTAATAATGATGTGTTGACTATGCATTATTTAGTATGATAATGTTTTGAAATCAGCTTAAATGAGAGAATTGAGATTTATGTAGCCAACATGTTTGGGACTCAAGATTCGCTGTTGTTATTTTTTAATCAAGTGGATCATATGCTTCACATTCTTTATGCCACCAATTGATCATAGACTGATAGAAGTATATTGGAGTTTCATTCTCTTCTTTTGGCTTGTCCTGTGTGTTCTTATTATCAGTGTTGTGAATGGCGAGCGAAAATCGAAAAGCATATATATCTGTACCTAGACACTAGAACAGCGAAAAACAATCCATCTCCATAGTAACTTATCGTCACAAGTAAAACAGAAGCTTTTGTAGGGAATCAGTTAATTAAGAAGCAGGCATGGTTCTGGAGGAGGGTAGCATTGCAAGTAATGACTTGCTTGAAGTTGTTGATGTTAACTCTTTGCAATGCAGGCTGGATATAGCAGCAAGTGCTTACCCTTGTTGTCCCTTTTGTAGTTTCCGGGGATATTATGAAAATAGTGGGCATTTCTCACTTCTATATCACTACTTTGTTGAAAGTAATATCTTTAATAATCAGTCTGTGGTTACTGACTTATTACGGTTACTATGAATCATGGCTTCTCCTGACTTGCTAATAATGATGAGTTGACTATGCATTTTTTTAGTGTGATGATGTTATGAAATGAACTTAAATGAGAGAATTGAGATTCATATAGCCGACCCCAACTTGTTTGGGACTTGGGCGTAGTAGTTGTTAAATTTGAATTAATTAGATCTTATACTTCACATTCTTTATGCCACCAATTGATCATAGAAGTATAACGGAGTTGAATTCTCTTCTTTTGGCTTGTCCTGTGTGTTCTTAAATGAAGTGCAAGGATTCATATAGCTGACCCCAACTTGTTTGGGATTGAGCATAGTTGTTGTTGTGTTTTCTTTTCTGAAAGAGAGGGATAGGATGGGAACAAGGTGGAATCCTATCAAGCAGGTTCACTTGAGTTATGCTAGTAATATCGGTCTTTTGATTCTGATTCTTACTGTCATACCCTTACTTAGCTTCTTGAAGCTGAAACATTCAATTTGTTTCATGATTAGATATACCCTAAGTTTAAAACATTTTCTCCTATAAAGCCGCAACTTAGCTACAAATTATTTTATTTTCTAGGAAAGTAACATTCCTGTGAAAGTTTCTTTTTAGATGGGGGGAAATGCAAATAGAGAATGCCCTAAGTTTACGCATTTCCTCCCATAAAGCCGCAACTTAGCTATAAATTATTTTATTTTCCAGGAAAGTAACATTCCTGTGAAAGTTTCTTTTTATATGTGGGGAAAATGCAAATAGAGAATATGAATGACAACAGAAATGATATCATGTGCAAGCTGTAAAAATACTTTTCATACTTAGCTTTGTGATGACAGACAAGCTAAATTTGATAAGGCAGTTGTAGAATTTCAAACAAGCAATAAATCTGAACCTAGAGGCTATGACACTGAAAAACTCTTTGTTTGCATAGTAACTCATTTCACAAGTAAAAAACATAGCTTCATGTTTCTGGAGGACGGGAGCATTGCAAGTGATGACTTGCTTGAAGTTCTTGATGTCAACTTTTTCAATGCAGATTGTATACAGTAGCAAGTGCTTACCCTTGTCGAAAATGTTATCAAGCAACAAATTACAGGATGTCCTAAGTATTCAACTAGATGCTTCTTTTGTTGTTCGCATACCTCCAGAAATGTGTTTGTTGAACAGGAGACGATGTTGTTAACTCTTTCAATGCAGGTTGGATATTGTAACAGATGCTTATCATTGTCGAGAATGATGTCAACCAACAAAGGAGAGGAAGTCTCAATTATTCAACTAGATGTTTCATCTTTATATTGTTGTTGAAGTTTTGTTGTTGCATTCTGGTAACTTTTACTTCTAGAAATGTGTTTGTTGAATAGGGATCGATGTGTTGCTCTCGTTATCTGGTTGCTTTATTGGCCTTCTTTAGTTACATGTTGCATCTGTATGAGCTGCATTTAACTGTTTTTGTTGGCTCTGTGTGGCTGTGGAAGGCCTTCGCGGCTAAACATTACATTGTGTTTATGATCAAACCTATCGTTCAGAAAGTCCTTAAGAACGAGACAGTAATTTCCTTGAAACTACAGTGAAAATGCCTCGTTAAGATTATACAACACCCAAGAAGACTCTTTTACCTTAGGTGTGTGATGAGAGTGTAACATTTGGAGAGTGCAAGTGAAGAACGCAAGCACTCATGATTAACTGGAGTGTGACATTAAGAAAAGGAATGAATCTAACTTTGATGCCACGAAGATAAATGAAATTTGAGTCTAGCTCTACTTCAAATATTAGCTTACGAGGCTCTCGTATATGTAATTATTTGTATAGTCATTGTCTAATAAAATGACTGAATAGTGATAGGCGCAATTGAGTACATCAAGAGAATTATAACTACCGTTAATCAAGGATTAATGAACGCTTAAACATTATACCAATTGAAATTTATTCACTAATCACTTTTCTCATGTTTCAAGCTTGAAGTACCTTAATAATTTGTCCACGTGTAAGTACTCTCCCCATTAATATTGACAAATAGACTTTATATTATAAACAATAATAATATATAGTCTTTTATCTTAAAAAGGACTACAACTTTTTGTTGATAATTGTAATGAGAAAAATGTCATTTAAAAAAAATCAAATTTTAAGATATGTACTAGAAAAGAATTTAAGATGGTCAATTATAGATGACAAAAGGATGTTGTGTAACGTAGAATGTTATTTAATGAAGTAGATGGCGTTTATTTTATTTGCCAGTAATAATAAATTCAATATTTAGATATTGGGTTATCCGTAACAGTTACAAGGCTCCAACAATTTATATTTATGTTTATTTATTTTTAATCCAAAATATATTAATTTGATTATTCATATTCCCATTTCCAAAATTTGAAATTAAAACGCTAATTAAGTACGTAATAGTTCACCCACATATTCTACAATACCAAAAGATATTATAAAGCATTATCAACTTGTAACATCTTAGAAAATTTCAAAATTTGATCTAACATCTCCTCACTAAGTTTTTAATTCGTTTAAAGAAAAGATCAGATCTTAATTTAAGGTAACAAGAACATATTTACAAATACTTTTATATCAATAAAAATTTATCTTATACAATATAAAATAAAAAAATGTTAATTATAAAAAAGTCATTTTTTCAAAATAAAAATTAATTAAAAAAGAACTACAATATGAAGTCAAATAGACTATTATGATTGTACTCCCACCAAAAAGAATTAATGGTGACTAATAAAATATCTTCCCAACCTAAGTCGAGGACAAAAATTTCAGCTTCAACTATTTTTTTTTTCCTGAATTTTATTACAATGTTGAAAATGAAGTTTGATTTTTTTTTTCTCTGACTTTCTTTTTAGTATTTTCTTCACCACTAGTGGCTTACTAAAAATGGAATATGCGTTGTCTAAAGTTAAGCTTTTTTTCTCTGATTATTTCATTAACCATGTTCTTCAATCTTTTTGCTTAAGATTTCTTCTCTGAGTATCAGGTATGCTTTCTTTCACTGTTTTTTTTTTTTGATAATCTGAAGATATGGGAAGTTATAATTGTTGTAAAAAGTTGAATCTTTTTGTGTTAACTTGATAGAAATTGAATTCTTTTGTATGAACTTGGAACCCCTTTTCATTCTTGAAAAAAAATTTGGATCTTTTTGTATAAACTTGAAAAAAAAAATTGAATCTTTTTGTATTAACTTGAAACCTATTTCATTCTTGGAAAAAAAATGGATCTTTTTGTTTTTCTTGTTTTAGTTTTTTGTTGTTGGGGTGGGGGTTCTTTATGTTTAGCTAATTCTGGTGTTAGGATGCAAGTGGTAAGCTTCAGTTCTTTATGTTTAGCTAAATTCTGGTGTTAAGATGCAAGTGGTAAGCTTCATTTCTTTGTAATTTTTAGAAAGCATTTGAGACATTTTAATTTTTTGGGTTTTGTGGATGGGAATAGTTTGTTTGCCAGTAAATCTGAGAGAAATTCAGTGAATTCTTTTTTGTTATGATGAAAATTAGGGGTTTCATTCTCTATATAGAAGATCTATAAGGCTAAGGCAGTGGGCAGTGGGTAGTGGGGACCTAACCCTTCAGCCTAGACCTTTTTAAAGTGCTTTGGTAAAAGATTGCAACTATGGTTAAAGTGCTTTTTTTTTATATGATGAAGGGTATGGGTTGAGGTTAAATGAGCTGACCCAACTTGTTTGGGTCTGAGAGTTCAGTTTTTTTCTTTTCACCCTTCCCTAGGAGCTCCGACCTTTTGGTTCCTTGGTGAGTCGAATCCGCAACCTTAAGATTGGAGGTGGAGGGTGCTTACCATCTAGGCCACCCCTCTTGTCGAGAGATAGTTGTTTGATTAAAGTGCTTTTATTTGATATGATGAAGGGTATGAATTGAGCTTAAATGAAGCTATGAGGATTCAATTAGCCGACCTTAACTTGTTTGGGACTGAGAGGTAGTTTTTTTTTTTCACCCCATGTCTAGGAGCTCCCGCCTTTTGCTCCGTTGGTGACGCAATGCTCTAACCTTAAGGTTGGAGTTGGAGGGTGTTTCCCATCTGAGCAATCCCCACTTGTCGAGAGGTAGTTACTAACTTATTATATTGGTTACAGTGCTGTTAGGACTATGAACAAAAGCGTTTGTCCAACACTTGCACTAAATTAAGTTCAAGCTGTTCTTTATAAATTGGTGTTCTTTTGATTTCTCATTAGTAACAATTGCTATGGTATTTGTTTAACTTCTCCACAGGATAGTTGGATCTTTGAAATGTGTTATGGATGTGAATGTTAAAGCTTGGAGCTGGTGAACTTTTTGTAACGAGGCGGGGTGTATGCTGGAAATGTTTCTGTTGTCTTCTGGATATCTATGATGTGCTAAACGGTTAGATAATATTTCACGATGAGGCCTTCTCAGAACCCTGAGGAAATCAACGAGTTCAACAAATTCTATAACCAACCCATAGAGTATCAAGAATCCTATTTCCTGCCTTCCGTTAACAATCCGAACAACAACCAATCGTTCTATGCTGATGTCTCTGCCTTAAAACCCGCCCAACACTGTTATGTTGAATCATCCGCGGGAAATTCTAGTGAACTTGTTTCTGATTCACCTCCTATTGTTAATTTCAACCCCATGATGAACCAAGGTTCTGATTCGTGTCGTTCAGACATGCATCATTCTCCTGATGATACATTTCAGTCGTCGGGTAACAGTTCGTGCTACACTAGTGATGTTACTGACCTGAAGCACAAGTTAAGGGAACTTGAAACTGCAATGCTGGGGCCAGATTCAGAAAGCTTGGAATCATTTAATAATACTATCCCTGTGACTGCAGCCAATCAAGTTCCATCAGAGTCGGATAAATTGGTTGGAATGATGGAGATGATGCCTAGCGGAGACTTGAAAGAAGTTCTAATTGCTTGTGCTAAAGCAATAGCGGAGAATAATTTGATCACAGCTGAATGGTTAATGTCAGAACTACGCACGGTGGTATCTGTTTGTGGGTCTCCCATACAACGTTTAGGTGCTTATATGCTGGAAGGTTTAGTTGCTAGATTGGCCTCCTCGGGAAGCTCCATCTACAAGGCCTTAAGGTGCAAAGAGCCTACTAGTGTCGAGCTATTCTCGTACATGCACTTGCTTTATGAAATCTGTCCATACTTCAAGTTTGGATATTTGTCAGCAAATGGTGCAATTGTTGATGCCATGAAAGATGAGAACTCAATTCATATAATCGATTTCCAGATTGCTCAGGGTAGCCAGTGGATCACCTTAATCCATGCTCTTGCAGCACGGCCTGGTGGACCTCCAAGAATCCGCATCACAGGGATTGATGACTCTACATCAGCTTACGCCAGAGGAGGAGGGATTGAAATCGTAGGTCGAAGACTGTCAAGCATTGCTGCATCTTGCAATGTACCTTTCGAATTTCATCCCGTGTCTGCTTCTTGTCCAGATATTGAGATTGAGCATCTTAAGGTTCTTCCCGGGGAACCATTGGCTGTTAACTTTGCGCTCGTCTTGCACCATATGCCTGATGAGAGCGTTGGAACTCAAAATCACAGAGACAGACTTCTGAGGATGGTTAAAAGCTTATCTCCCAAGATTGTTACCTTAGTGGAGCAAGAGTCCAACACTAACACAGCCCAATTCTTCCCCAGGTTCTTGGAGACACTGAACTACTACCTATCTGTTTTCGAATCAATAGACGTGGCTCTACCTAGAGACCATAAGGAACGAATCAACGTTGAGCAACACTGCTTAGCCCGTGAAATTGTCAACATATTAGCATGTGAAGGGGCAGAGAGAGTGGAACGACACGAGCTGCTTGAAAGGTGGAGATCACGATTTGCTGTGGCCGGGTTTAAACCATATCCGTTAAGCTCCTCAGTAAATGCTACTATCAAGACCCTGCTGGAGAATTACTACCAAAGTTATACGCTTAATGAGAGAAATGGCGCGCTCTATCTTGGCTGGATGAATCGAGATTTAGTTGCTTCTTGTGCATGGAAATAATCTCTTATCGGAAACAGTCTCTCTATCCTGCAAAGGTAGAGGTAAAGTCTGTGTAGATCCTACCTACCGTAATTAGGTGCATGTAACTTGTAGCTTGATAATGGTGAGACAGATAGTGGCACCTCTTCTTTTTTCTGTTTGTATTAATTTAAAAAGACAGGTCATTTAATCTTGCTAGGATCTGTTCTATCAGAAACTAATCGAAGTCTTTTTTATCTCTCACATTGTTCATGTTCATAGTTCATTTGGTCAGTTTGTGCGATATAAAACAACACATTCAGGATGTATATCAAATGAAAATTATAGAAAATACATTAGGCAAGTTCACTCATCATAATTACAGAAAATATGATAACATTGAAAAGTTCATCATAATTCCTAGAAAATGTCATTGATCTGTATTCATGGGAGAAAGATGTTGGAGATCGACATTTGCTCCGTCATCCATTTCCTAATATACTCTAGGTATATGTACACAAAGAACACTAGGTGAAGGTGTATTATACAGCATCACGCGACGAGTCCTAGAAGTATTTATACTTCAACTAGAGATATCTTTGTAATCCACCAAGATGCAGGAAAAAATATAGATGGTGGCTTCTTATTGTTAAGCTCTTATAGTTGATGGTAGATACGATTCACGGGCCAAGAAGTATCTTTCCATAGTTTTGGAGAGACTGAGTAGAAGGTTGTAAAGGCAAAGTTTCAAAACTAGGTCCTTGAACACGATTATCTATAGCTCCAAATCGGCTCATACCACCATGTACAATACCATAGCGCGCTGCAACTGCAGCTGGCTGTACTAGCATCATACCAGAACGTGAAACTTGAACTTGGTGATGGAGGGTGTGAAGTTGCCCGTTGTTCCCATTATCAAGACGATATCCAGTACTAACGCCTAGATCCAGACTAAGTGAGTTGGTCTCTCCTGCCCTGATCCTTGAACTGCCGGTTACAGGCGAGGATCCTGTCATTTCATGGTTATTATTTTTTGCAGCGGGTACATCGTGGTTATGTTTTCCTTCATATGTGGTGATAACAGCTTTTGGATCATGAGAAGCCCTCTCCACATGTTTCCTGACAGGGCATCCAGCATTGGTGCACTTGTAATAGCTCCTGCATGACATGACATGAAATCAGGAGAAAAGATTGACCACTCGGATAAGAAAATGCTCGAAATCCCTAGCTTCTGGCATGATACAAAAGCTTACCAGAGATCTATTAGAATCATGAAGAGTGTGAATGTTTGATGAACTTAATGATAAATGGTCTCTAATTCATCTTAAATTCCAAACTATAGACTGTTGGCTTACAACGAAGAAGATCTTGGGATTGATGGATTAAGGATCTGCTATCCTAGAGACTTCATTGTCTCTTTTAGGCTCTTACCTCTCATCAAGAGAAGGCTCATATATGACAAGTGTCAGACTTTCTTAGGCTACAACTCAGAACATTTTAAATGACTATTTCATAAATAGCCAACACAACCAACAACCAGTAATGACTTTTGTCAGATACTTGTTACATAGCAAGATAAATCAGGTCTGTGTAGACGCCAATAATGTGACATGAGGTCACATGTCCAGATAACTACAAACCATAAACATTACATACCTAGGATTAGGATTGCCTCGGACCACCTTCTGTCCATATTTGCGCCACTTGTACCCATCATCCAATATATCAACTTCACTGACTGTTTGAACAACAACGCGTGGTTCACGGATAGGCTTAATCACTGGTGTTATATCCATCCCACCATCCATTTTCCTGCGTAAAATTTTAACCATCTATTAGATCTATTGCAGGAATGAACTGAAGGAGTTCCAACAGTTTTACCTTCTTTTCGCAAATTGATCATCCTCATCCATATCATCATTAGTGCCATGCATCTGTGACCCTGCTCCTTCAAGACCATCAGTGTCCGCTTGCTGAGGTGATACGGGAGTACTACTAGGCTCAGTTTTACTAGTTTGGACATTGGTGTTGAACTTGTCTTCTACATAGACTGAGAATCAATAAAAGTCGACTCAGAATAACATTAACTTCTTTAGGATAACTACTTTATGTTCAACTGAGAGGGAAAAAAATACCAAAAGAGCTACTTGTTTACCTTCTTGACCCCTGAAACACACTTCTTTCTCACATTTATCTTCTTGAACAGACATGAGAGCACCAGGAGAAAATCGGCGGCTCAGTTGGGGTTTAGGATGATCATGAGAACCTTTATAAACAATCTCTGTTATTTGTCCTTCAGGTGACCGCTCAAATATCTTTTTCACTTCGCAGTTTGGATATGTACATTTGTAATAGCTTCTCGGAAATTCACTTCCTTTAACAAGTTTCTGGCCATACTTTCGCCAGTTATACCCATCATCTGATGATCTTTCAGATGTTACGGATAATACATCTTTATGATCTGCATGTGATCCTTGCATGCTTGCACTAGATTGACCTCTCGGATTCATGGCATCAACGTTAATAGGTTCATATAGACTCTCTTCTTTTGATGAAGCATCAACATTAATAGGTGCAGATAAACTCAGTTCTTTTGATGTTTCCATCTCGTGTTTAGCTAGAGATGAAGGTACTAACAATTGAGGATAACATTGATCTTGAACTTCTTCCAATGGCTCATTGTGTTGTTGGTTGAGACCTGTAGAAATCTAGATTACAGAAGCATATTAGGAATGTAGGAACTGACTATAGTAAACTAATATTCTTTTCTACAATCAAATTATTCAACAAGCTAGTAGAAATTATATCTAAATATTTATATTTGAAGATTTACCTATAAGAAGAGAAAACTCATCCGAAGAGGGCCCAAAAAAAAGGTGTGCAAGGCAAATTTATACTCTGTGGAACCTTTAAGATATACAGGGATATAGATGCTTCTGAACTCGGCAAGAAAAGGAAGCTCCATCCACCCACCACGCAACATAAAACAAGAAGGACGAGGAAGATATCGAGAAAATAGCCACAAGATATGTGATACATGTTGATTTTCTAAAAGTTCAAAAGAATAACTACCATTTAAAAATTAAAAAAAAGAACTTCGAAAGAATTACTTTGACAAACTAATTTGCAGGCTTACTTATAACGAGCATTCTGACATGACTTAACAGTTGCAGAAGAACATACTTAAGTTAGTCATTGTACATTCCCAGCAAAGTTAATTGGATGAATGCACCATCAATCAAATCTATGATTTTTAGTTGTAATAACTTCTGGAATTTGTTCATCGAATATTTTTTTTAATAGTAATGTGACAAATCATAGAAGAGGTAAGAAGGATCAGTAACAAGGCATAGTAGATGAAATGTCACATCCACTGGTTTAACAATTTATTTCTTGACAGTATGCATGACCACACACAAACTACTGCTCACGGTGATATCAATTTACCGACATAACCAAATTAATGATACTCTACTTGTGTGAAAAGGACTGTAGTGCTGCCACTTAAGAAACATGAGTCTCTTCGATATGAAGAAGAAAAAAACAGATGAGCAAACCAAAGCTACTTTACTTCCGGATAGCATGTTACAACACTATTTAGAACCTGCACACATTTGACATTAACCTCAAATAGATGCCATATCAAGAGAAAGACACAAGAACAGGAACCTGAACCTCAGAGTTAAACTTTCATTTTTTCTAAATTAAACATCAGTCAGTTGTTAAAGAGGGCTACTGCTAATAAAAAAGCTCTTGTTTCATTTGCTTTTTGTTTCTAATCCAACATCAATAATATTTTCTAATAGAGCATTACCACATGTTCAGTTGCTAATGATCCTGATGTAGAACTAGATCCACCGGCATATTTGTATTCAAAGCAGCTTGCTTTTCTTTCAGTGTATGTATTGCCACTAGCATAACCTCTTGTCAATAAGAATGCAGCAGCCCCACCAGAGCCTTGCACTGTTTGAAATTTGGAGAAGGAACCTGTAGTCGGAGATGGCTCAGCCTGCAGGTTATAAGTGAAATAGACTAAGTGTTTTGATAGGTAAATGAAATAAACTTTCAAGTTATTGATCACAATTTTCTTTTCCAAAGGGGAACACATTCATCCATTGACAGACATGGTACATATATTTACTACTCTTTCTCAGTTTTCTGCTCCGTTGAGGAGGGAGAAAAGTTTTTTCTTTTTTACGTCACCTTCAGGTTCATTTCTTTTCATTTGGGTGGAGGAAGATAGATGCTACTTATAGTAGTGCAAAATATCATTTATCTGCAACAGAACATTAGCATTTACGTTCGAATAAGACAAAAATTTAGGCAAGCTTTAAAAAGCATATAAGTAGGTCAGAAGAACAATGTAGGGGAATTTACTGATGCCATTATACGGACTGAGCACTAAAAAATAAACATCTTTTTCCACAAGGAACAACATAGTGGAAAAGCTGAGCACCTTGTGAAAAAGGAAGATTCATTATGTGAAAAAACAACACTGATCCCTAACTAAGCTTTTTCCACGCAGAAGAACGAAGAATATGTATTCTGGTAAAGGCCACAAGCATAATTCTATTAAAAAACGATATATGCACCAATACAGTACATTGTTCATGTAAGCATCAGAACCAACGGTGACAATTTGCACAGATAAACAAACTTATATTTACAGATAAATATTATATTCTTAAATGAGCACTTAGTTATATGCAGAAGAATCAAACTAACAAGTTGCAAATTGCAAATGCCAATGAAAAGAACCAAATATCTAATCAATAATTCAAACCGTACTTTAAGAAAGCAACAATCACATCAAAAAAATCCTCAAATCCTCCACTGATTAGTATATTATGACGCAATCAAAAAGGAAAAAAGTTTTACTAATAGTTTGCATTTCACTCAATTGAAGACAGCACAACTATACACCTTACTCTTAACAACACTTAAACTAATTAATTGTTAAGATTCCCTAATTATTTTTCATTATAGCTTATCCTTCGTTTTCTTATCAATCAGAACATAACAACAGCTAATTATTGCTGATAATCACCTCAACATCCTGGATCTACTAAAATTCTCCGATTAGAAAAAGCATCGTAGTCAAAATAACTTCATTTCTTCAGCTAATGTGTTACAATTCTAACAAAACAAGCTTAAATTTCGTCCAGTATTAATGGTTAAAAATAACAGAGAAATAGAGATTGAGAACTGACTTTGATGTTAGAAAGGAGAACAGGAGATTCGAGGAAGGAGGAAGGACTGAGACCGGGAGGTATGGTGATACAGGCGGACCTAGAGATCGGAAGCATAGCAGGAGTCATGAGCTTGTACTTAGCACCGCCGTTCGATCCAGCGGCGTTGTGACGGAAGCCTCCGGAGGAGTTTGTTCCATCTCTGAGTTGTTGCTCGGAAGTAGAGTGCAGCTGCTGCTGCTGAGAGTGAGAGTCTTCCATTGACGATTCCGAAGAGCTTTTTTTTTTATTTTTTTTTCGGGTGTGTTGGAGAAGACAACAGTCAAAAGGAGTGTGACCCAACAGTGTGACCGGGGGCAGTGGGCAGGGGTAGTTTCGACATTTTCCACGAAACGGTAATTTGGCTGCTTTACAAAAAGGGAAATACTTTTTCTTTTTGCTTTTTTAATCTACGATTTTCTAATAGGTAAAAATTTAGTGGTTGGGGTTTACATCGAACTAAAAAAAAGAGGATAGGAAGAGGAGATTAGTCCCCTTTCTCTCTCATTTAAAAGTACGACAACACTCAATTACTTACTACTCTTATCCTATAATCCTCGATTCTCATATCAATTTTATTGAGGGTCGTTATGTATTTAGAAGTTAAAAATGTATTTTGTTTTTGTTTTAGTCACATTTTCTAGCTTTTCTCGACCTATGTACATCTACCTCTCCTAAAACGTATTTTGTTCTATTTCTCGCTCCTCTTTGTTGGTACATCCACACACCTTTTTTTCATATTCTTGAGCTATCTCAACTTGTTCGTCGTAGAGGCTACTCCTATCTTATCTTGTATAAATTTATTCATAATCTCATATCATCTAGCATGTACCACACACTTATTTGAATATTCTCATCTCCTTGATCTTCATATTCTGATTGTGTGTAGTCTGAAATGAATAACACTCTGCTTTAGACAATAATTTAGACTTCACTATCACGTTGTAAAACTCTTTTAAGCCTTGATAATACATTTACGTGAATCTACATTTCTTTTATTTTATTTCAATATGATAGTACAATTTTATCGTCAAATCTACCTAATTAAGTTAATTAGATATAGCACATGTGTTTGTACTTTTGATAGTTACTTAGTGAAACACGATTGGACGCAAGTTCACTATGGGACATGGGATGTCATATGTGGGTGTTATTCATGAGTTGTCTCTATCCAAGTACTATAGGTAAATAATTTTCCTCTCAATAATTGCCATATTTAATTATATTCCTTTACGTAGGGTTTCATCTATGTTATTGGAATTCAGTTAAGGTACACTTTTATAATAATATAAAAATAATGCAATTTGAGTACATTTGGGGTGGGTTGAGGGGTCTTATTTTAAGAAAAAAGAAATCTTGGTTGACATGGGTAATATTTGGTTATCGTATAGTTTTTTATATTTTTAATGTATATTATTATATATTTATTTTATTTGTATAATAATATATGATTTGAATATTGTCTTTTTGAATTGGGAATATATAGCGAATAATATTGAGATAAAGTTTATGTACATTTTATCTTTTCAGTTTTTATTTATAGTCTTCCGTATCCATAAATTAAATGGTTTCTTCCGATTTAAGTTTAAACTAAGACGTTTTATACTATTAATGACTGATTTTACTAGTTATAATTCATCAAGAAGAAGAACAACCAAAGGAACCAATATTGGTTGGTAGTAATAGTAGTGTGACTGCTTCACCCTTAAACAGAGGTTAGAAATGTAGAAAATTTTGTTCGGAAACGTCAACATGAAGGGGGTCCAGCAGTCCGCTACTCGAATTTAATCAGGACTTTAACACGGACTCTGAACACCCCCCCCCTCCCCCCCTCCCCCACCCACCAAAAAAATAAAAGCAAAGGAAGAGCAATAACCATGTCTAACTTTTGATAATAGGCTAAATGTGAAATACTTTGAAAATATAAATATAACTTAAATAGTACATGAAAATTGGCCATCCAATGTAAATCCTATAATTGGAAAAAGCCCATTTACTTTTTAGGGCCATGAGCCCATGACATAAGCGAATCCATTATACTTAAAACTTGTTTGGGCCAAATAACTGGACCATGGGCCTGGATGGCAGGCAATACACAAGTTTTTGCCCGTACCGTCCATATTTCGAGATGATCTTTAATTTTAATTATTCGATATCTAAGGAAAAATTATTATTCAAAGTATCCTTAACTATGACTTAATTTGCTAGATAAACTTATTTTTTTTAAAAAATATTTGCCATTGGAGCATAAATTTAGTGTTACATAATTTGCAAGACAATTTCTTTATTATTAATATTAAAAAGAAAAAAACAAATCGTCAGGCACAACTTCATACTATCGAACTGATATCTCAAAACATAAGTTCATAAAAAAAATCCAAACAAGTCGTACCTAGAGATTTTTTTGGTCTTACTACTTCATTTTATTTTATTTTTAATGTTTAGGTACGCATTTTTTATTTAGTAAAATTTTTTTTTTTTTAAAAAAAAAAGCAAATTAAAGGGCATAAACTTCAAAGCTAAAAAATAAAATCACCCAAAATAAGCTAAGAGCACCCAAATTCTCCTTGCATCACACGCCAAAACATTCCATGTCGGCGGATTGAAAAGTCATAAATTACTATTGATATTAATATTGTATGACTTTCTCAATTATATTTGGTTATTAAATTGAATATCTATTTTTAGAATTCAATAATTTAACACATAAGTATTGTAATTTCTAAACTCCAAGCATTAATAGTTTTATTGATAAACTTTAAAAATATCGCTAAATTTGAAGCATTATTAGTTTCATTGATAACTTTAAAAGCATCACTTATTTTAAATAATTTGATTAATTTTTAAAGTTAAATTAAATTATATTAATTCGATATTTTAAACAAAAAGAATTAGATATTCAAAAATTATATGCAATGTATTATAATTATAATTTTTTACATATTAATATGATGAAAAATATGTCTTAAAATGTTAGTCAAAGTTCTTATAGTTTAACTCTAAAAAATGAAACCATGACAAACAATAGTAGACAGAGAGAGTACTTGATTTGCTAAAGTTAAATACACCCTTAATTCTACATCTCGATTTTTATTAAGAATTGCATGCTCTTATAAGAGTTCAAAGTCACTTGTTATATCCTATAGCATGTCGGAATGAATCTAAGTTAAATCAATCAAATAAATTTGTGTTTTATAACTGTCATTGATAATTCGGAATAACTAATAATTCGCATAATATTCAGAATAAGTTTTAGTAGTTCTCTCATAATTTAGATAAATTAGATTCTATAATCGATAAATTTCAAATCTTTTCGATAATCTTGTCACAAAATTATCTTAAATCACTAAAAAGCCGTCCATTTTTTCTATTATTTGCATGGTCGGTTAACTGGGGCGTATTTTTTACCCAAAATATTTTACCACGTGTAATCCGGATTCTAAAAATATGTTAATTTTCACCTAAAAATCCGAGTAATTAATTGACTAACAACTACTAAACCCAAGTTTAAACCATGGTTTAATAAACTTGGTCAACTAAAAGTCTAAAACTTAACCATAGTTAAAACTCTGTTATAAATACCAGCAGCCATAAACCCTTGAAATTTTCTTATTCCCATGCCTTATTGTTCTGTTTCGTTACTTTTTCTGGGAAAAAAAGCAAAAGAGTTCAGCTTTTTTGCTTCTCAGTTCATTGAAGAAGAAGACAAGTTCACGTAACATTCGCACTACATATGGTAAAAATTTGTTTATTCAGTTTAAAATTTCTGTTTTTATCGATGAATCCAATAGTTTAAACAACTGATTTTTTCGTTTTTTTTTTTTCATTTTTATGTTCGAATAGTTTTATTTCAGTTGTTTTTGCTGTAAAAAATGGCGAGTAAATGTAAATGTTCAAATACATGCTTTTAGTTTTTGTTTTCAATTTGAATAGTTTGAAATTTAGTTCTTTTTGCTTTAAAAAGTGTTATAAAAAGTTCATTTTTGGCGGATTTTGAAGAAAAAATGGATGAATAAATCCAAATGTTCAAAAATATGCTTTTAGATTTGTTTTCAATTCGAATAGCTTGGAATTAGTTGTTTTTGCTATAAAAAAGTTGAATTTTGGTGAAAATTTCATCTAATTTGTAGTTTTTTTTTTTAAAAAAAAATTGTTGGTGAAGGTGCAGAGCGTGGATCCGGATCGGGAATCGGAGCCGTTCATTGAACTGGATCCGACGGGTAGATATGGGCGGTACGACGAGCTATTAGGTTATGGAGCAGTGAAGAAGGTGTACAGAGCATTTGATCAGGAAGAAGGGATTGAAGTAGCCTGGAACCAAGTGAAATTGCGTAATTTCATGGATGATCAACAGGTGATTGATAGGCTGTATTCGGAGGTTCGGCTATTGAAAACTCTAAAGCATAAGAATATAATTGCATTGTACTCTGTTTGGAGGGATGAAAATCGCAACACGTTGAATTTCATAACTGAGGTTTGTACCTCGGGGAATTTGAGAGAGTATAGGAAGAAACACAAACACGTATCGATGAAGGCAGTGAAGAAGTGGTCTAAGCAGATCCTTAAGGGATTGAACTATTTGCATACTCATGAACCTTGTGTTATCCACAGGGATCTCAATTGCAGTAATGTCTTCATTAATGGCAATATTGGTCAGGTATATCATTGACCCCTTGCTTTATCTGTTATTATTATCATGTTTTGTCGAGCAAAGGGCCTATCGAAACAGTATATGTATTCGGTGTTGCTTTATCTGTTATTCTATCATGCTTTGTCAAGCAGAGGGTCTATCAGAAACAGTATATGTAGTTGGTGTAGCTATATCTGTTATTCTATCATGTTTTGTCGAGCAGCCTGCAGGATCGCTGGATATTTGTTGTTGTTATGTTATCTATTCTTCTATCATGTTTTATCGAGCAGCCTGCGGGATCACCGGATATGTTGTTGTTTGTTGCGTTATCTGTTATTCTATCATGTTTAGTCGAGCAGCCTGCAGGATCACCGGATATGTTGTTGTCGTTGCCTTATCTGTTATTCTATCATGTTTAGTCGAGCAGCTTTCATGATCAACGGATATATTGTTGTTGTTGCTTCATCTGTCATTAGTATTATCCTTATCTTTATTAACTCTTCAATGTCATAGCTATTTTGTTCAACCGAAAAAAGGATAATGTTGATTATACCTTTGATGAAAGTATTTAATATATCAACAATATTGTTTTGTTCTTATGGTAGTATTCATTTCACCAATTGTTATTTCAACTTGGAAAGAAAAAAAAGATTTGATTTTTATTTGAATCATACTAGCCTGTAGTGTTATCCATGTCTTAGCTTGTTTATGTTGTTTTTACAAACTTCAGAATTTCGAAGGGAGTATGAATGCTTGTGTTGTGTTTGTGATATAGGTTAAGATTGGTGATTTGGGTTTTGCAACTATAGTAGGGAAGAGTCATTCAGCACATTCGGTTCTTGGAACCCCAGAGTTCATGGCACCGGAGTTGTATGATGAGGATTATACCGAGCTGATTGATATCTACTCGTTTGGGATGTGTGTTTTGGAGATGGTGACGTTGGAACTACCTTATAGTGAGTGTGATAACGTGGTGAAGATATACAAGAAGGTAATATCCGGAGTGAGGCCCAAGGCCATGGACAAGGTTAAAGATCTCGAGGTCAAGAAGTTCATTGAGAAGTGTCTTGCTCAGCCTAGGGTTAGACCCTCTGCTTCTGAACTCCTTCAAGACCCTTTCTTTAATGATATTAATGATGATGACGAAAACGACGATGAAGAGTATACTAGTAACAACTATTGGCATGCTTAAGTCAGCCATAGCTATTATTTGCTAGTTGCTATTATATTAGTTAGTTGTATTAGGTTTTGTTGTGATATTTTTGGTGTTGATTTGTTACTTATAGTGGTTTTTGCCTTTTCTTCCAAAAAGAAGAAAAGAAAATGGTTTTGCTTTTTATGAAACTATTGTAAAAGAAAAAACAATAGAAAAAAGAGTGTATTTTTATTAAGAAATTTGTACATACATTTGTTATCAAATACTATTTGAAGATTGAATGTTAGCTTGAATTCATTTCATTGTATTCGAATCGTAAATACTCATTCACATTAGATATTTACAACAACTTATGAATACGTCTAATTATACATGTATTAATTTGACGTAAAGACGGTAACCTTTCATACCCTTGAAGTGATAGGACAACTAAATCTTCCTATTGGGACAAGTCAAAAATTAGGAATTGGTAAAAGCAAAAAAGGGGATTGATTCAAATTTTAACAAAGAAGACAAAAATAACCTTTGGTATAATGTAATGGCTTTTTATTTATTATTTAGTTAAACATGAATTGGAACTTGTAAGCAAAGTAAAGAAGCAGTTGACAATATATAATCAAGTTGTCGCCACGCTGTCCCAGTTTCTATTTGTTGGACTAAAAGAATCCAATTAATTTTAAAATATTATTATATAATATTAATAAAGAAAAAGACCAATAATATTTGTTGGCGTGTGTTGCATTTGCCATTTCCCACTTTAAAACAAATCGAATCCCAAAAGGATAAGTCAATACACACCACCACCGAAGTTTGTCGCCTCACCGTGAAATGATAACTATTTCTTCCTATTTAATAAAATAAAGTATTATAGTCTTAGTTTTAAAAAATGAAAACATTTCACAAATCAACGTAGATATCTCCACGATTTTACTTTCTTTCGATAAAATTATATTAAATATATAAAATTTTAATTAGTTGAATTTACGTATTTTTTTTATTTTTAATTAAGAATCTAGAATTGGAACCTTCAGAATTATATTACTTTGAGTAGAAAAAAACATATTACTTCCAATTCAAATTAAATTTGAGTCCATCAAACTCTAAAAAAAAATATCGAACATCAAATAAAATATATATATATATATATATATATAAAACAAAATAAAAAGTATAAGCACCACATGGAAAAAGAAAAAGTTTGAAACGGAAAAGTAGGAAAAGGTCTTTAAAAAAACAACAGCTGTCTTCACAAGCGCTGGTTTGGTTTGTAGGGTCCAATAACGGTCTTTTTATTTTTAATTCGATTTTCGATATCAAATTTTCTTTTATATCTAAGATTTAAATTTGAAATCTTTAATAAATTAAGAATAATTTTATTCACTGTATCATATCAATTAATGATGATCTTTTTTATTTAAGATATTATTAAAGAACAATATCAAAGTTAAGAAAATGTAATCGTAATTAGTATCTATATCAAATCATATCAATTTCTGATAAATTCTAAAAGAAAAAATCCGTTTAATTAAGTACCTTAGATATCGAAAGATTAGGGTCAAAGATTAGTATTTTTTTTCTCTAGTTGAAATTTTCTGGTGATGAAAACTCGTTTAATTAGTTTAATAATAATTAAGATTAATGTAATCATCACTTAAGCCATAATGCTTCACAAAAGCAGACAAGTGGCTGCTTCTCTAAAGAAAAAAAAAATATTGGGCACGTTTTTCATAACAAAATATTTTAGTTAAGGTTGAATTAGGATATAATATTTCTTTTTTGGTCTTGTTAATTCAGAAAAAAGGTTAATATTTTTATCATTTTAGTAATTACTGATTATTAACTTATGAAGCAATAAAATAAAATATTTTTCACATGTTAATTTATATATGGATGACAAGTTAATCCCAAGTAATAAGCGGTTAAATTTGTTAAATATCTTCTGTCTGATTAGTAATTATTGATTAACATATGTAATGCGATCTCTAGAGAAAGTAGTCAAATACAAAAATGGTGTGTATTAGACATTACAAATAACATTTAATATATAAAACGTTACTCGTAAAATAGAGGTACGTCAAATAAAAAGGCTAATTTTGATTTGTGAGAGTCTATTACATGATTTGAACCCGTGATTTTCTAGTCAAACGGTGCAACACTTACTGTTGAGGATGTGATTTATGATAATATATTTTTTTTTTGTTAAAAGATAATAGTTTTTGGATGCCTAATCGTAACGCGCGTGTGTTGACATGGTATAGTATGGGTGTGAGATCCATATTGGATTTAGTCAATCGATTTTGATTACTTTGACCAAAATTGACATGGAAATTGGGGACATAATGCATTATGTAAAAGCAAAGGTAAAATCGAAGATCATGTAACTTGTATAAATAAATTTCTTTATTAGTCATTTCATCTCCTCCTTCTAAATAAATTTCTATACGAGTCATTTCATCTCCTCCTTCTAACTCTCGTCTCGATCAATATTTTCTCCTTGAAATACCTTGGTCTCATAATTTAAACAAATTACTCTATTTTTAAATATTTGAACTATTTTTTAGCCGAATTCCCGCACCCATATCCGTCCTGCCAAATCTTAAAACTCACGAAGGATCCGACTTCTAGATCCACACCCATATCAATCAACCCCACACCGAATCCGATCAACTTAGATATTCATATTCTTCAAACATTTTCCCCTCTATCACAAAACCAAGTGAATAGCAATTCAGTCATAAACAATTATTGATTGGATACGTACGACCAATCCATTCTACCTAGAAAAATCGAAAATTCTTGAACTTATAGGTAAACTCCAATAGTAAAGACACCACAACTTTGTAATGTTCGTAAAAGATATGATCTTTGTCCAATTCCTAGTCATTATAGTATGAATATGAACATTACAAGGTAGATTAGAGATCAAATCAAAACATGAAAACATTGGAAACTATGAACAAGGTAACAAGGACAAGAAAATACCAAAAAAATGGATAATACTATGTTATGAAATCATGTTAACACAACTTAGTAACCTTGTACACTGCCAAACAACAACATTTCATCTAGCTAAATAGATGGACAATCTTCTCAAGTTCATTATAACTGTTTTACTTTCTCTTCTTTTTATCAGATACTGTAATGGAGGCGAGTTTATCGAATCAAAATCATTTATCAAATTTCTTGTTGCTCTTGATCCAAACAATGTACTAAACGTTGATCGAAATGCTTTGCTTTCTTACCCTTGTTGCTACAAATTACATGGTGTTAAGTGTGATTCACGTTCCGAAGAAGTCATAGAAATAAGACTTGAGAACATGAATCTAAGTGGTGTAATTGATGCAGAGTCACTCTGTAAACTCTCAAACTTGAGAGTCCTTAGCTTAGCTAGGAATAAGATTGAGGGAACAGTTCCTGAATCGATATCATCGTGTAAAAGTTTAACTGTTCTTGATCTAAGCAGCAACTTTCTAAGTGGAAACTCATTAGTACTTATGCAGTCATTGACAAGGATCAAGAATCTGAAAAAACTTAACATTTCTAAGAACAATTTCACTTCCTCACAGCATATAACAAGTCTACACGCTTTGAGACGTGTAACTATTAAAGAATCTTCATCTTCAACTACAGTAAGTGACGATAAGAAGACAAAGAATCATCATGTGAGTCTGATGGTTTGGGTCCTCATATCTCTTGGAACTGTGGTTGTGTTAGTAGTTTTAGTATTCTTGTATATGAGGTGTGTTGGGACGGTTAAGGATAAGGAGGTTATAAAGGAAGTAGTTGATTACCCGTCTCCTCGAAAAACTCCCTTAGATGAAGTTGTGGATGGAGTGTGTGACACTGAAGAGAAAAGCTCAGAACTTTACTTCTTCATGGAAGATGTTGAGAAGTTTACGATGGACGATCTTCTTGAAGCAACTGCTAACTTAACAAAGCAAGGCATTTGCAGCAGCCTTTATAAGGTTCATATCAGTAGAAGTGGTGTGTTTGCTGTCAAGAGACTGAAGAAACTACAAGTGGGGTTCAAGGAGTTCTCGCGAACAATGAAAAAGATAGGGAACTTGAAGCATCAAAATGTACTTCCACTTGTTGCTTATTACTCTAGCAATGATGAAAAAATGCTCATCTACAAATATCAGAACAGTGGAAGTCTACTAACACTTTTCGGAAGTAAGTAGTCAAGAACTTCAAATTTCTCATCTTGTAATTCAGAAATTTATATCATATTGTTGTTGTTTATTGTTGCAGATTATGCAGAGGGGAAATGGAACTTCCCCTGGAACTTAAGGCTTTCGATTGCAGTAGGCATAGCAAGAGGTCTCGCGTACTTATACAGAAGTTCAAAGAAAGGCAATGTCATTCCTCATGGCAACATTAAGCCATCAAACATTCTATTAAACGAAAACGGGGAGCCATTGATAAGTGAGTATGGATATTACAAGTTCCTAGACCCTGACAAAAGTTGCCTCTATAAAGACAATGGTTATACAGCCCCTGAGAAAATGTTGACAGAAGAAACTGATGTCTATAGCTTTGGAGTGATTCTGCTGGAACTGCTAACCGGCAAAGTTGTAGAGAAGACAGGATTAGACCTTGTCAAATGGGTGAAATCTATAGTGAGGGAAGAATGGACTGGAGAAGTGTTTGATAGTGAAGTTGCAAACTATGAAATGTATGCTTTCCCTCTACTAAACGTTGCACTCAAGTGTGTGGATCGTTTGCCTGAGGAACGACCTACTATGACAGAGGTCTTGGAGATAATCGAAGAAATTGTGAATGATCAAGAAGACATTTCTCCTTCTTCTATGACTTCTTTTGAATCCACCCCTGGTTCAATGAAGCATGTTTATGCCCTTTAGTTTGACAGCTTTCTTCTTTATCTATGTGAATTTTACCAAGTTATTTTTCTGAAATGTGTGCCTAGTTGTGTGAAAGATTCATAGTGAGTGGATGAAAGCAGAAACACTATTCATGTAAGTTTCATAAGTACTCATCTTATAAAAAGTGTTCTTATGTTGACAATCAGCCTACAACAGCATTTTTCTTCATCGAGCTCGAGCTGATTACTTGTTGCAGAAACTAATATCAGACAATGGCATTCAAGGCAGGCACGACAAGGCCGGGAGGAGGGGGGAGGGGGAAGGGGGTGTTAGTTGTCTCTAGACTGGAATGTTGTAGTTACACTAAGGATGAAACAGCACAGCACATATTCAAAATTATTCCAAGGGAAATGCTGAGCATATATTAAGAACAGAAGTTCTAATTAACTACAAGGTACTGAAGTAAAACAAGTCTTCAACAGACAAAAAGTTAATTAGTTCAGAGCATTTTAAGCATTCACAAGATAAAATGGATAAACACCACATTCATAAAATCCTTAGTGTTCACTTATCCTTTTAGACTTGCTCCTAATCGCGCTATAAGTTATTCGAGAACCATTCACAAAAGCTTAGAAGAAAGCTCTGCTGCCATAGAACACCCTTGAGCTAGTGCTCTTGGGCGTCTGCGATGTCTGATCTGAACTCGAATTATCAGAACTGGTTGTCCCATTTTCAATGTCCAGCGGAAGCTTCATCTTTGCCAATGACTCAGTAAATTGCTGCATACTTTTCATGTACATATCCACAATATCCTGTTGCACAACCTTCTGCTCTGGCTCAATGACCACTGGCTTTGGAAATGCACTGGGTGGCTTGCTTTCCGATATGTTGCTCTCAGCATTTCCAACATTATTTTTACCTGTGGGACATTCTTTAGAAGCTGATGCATATTCTTCCTCTGGCGACTTGGAAGCTCCTTGGGTCTCGGAGGACTGAGAGCTTGCGGGATGCAAAACTGTTGGAGAGTCAATGGTTGATATGCTGCTAGGAGGCGAATCACGCTTAGGATATTGGTGGAAATTAGTAGCCTCACTTGGAACATTTTCCATATGGACATCGACTTCTAGACTGAGCTGGTTTTCCGTATCAGAAGAGACCAAGCTATCCGAGCTTTGAGAATCTGGATTACTGCTTGGCATATTGAAGTACTCGGAGACCATGAGATTATTCTCATTTACAATCTTAGGATCTGGGAACTCAATTTTGTCAAACTCATTTGGAAGGGACTCACGTGCTTCGCCGTCTGTCCGAGATGCATCAGTTTCTAATATGGGAAAAGCAGGAATTTCAATAACTTCAGGTGAAGTTCCATTGTAAGAAAGGGACAAGTGCACAAATCCTGCTGGGGAGTGAAAGAGATCAGTCGACGAAAAGGAGAGAACTCTTTTTCTACCTTTCCATTTTTCATGAGGATTTCAGATAAGGGGACTAGTGCAAATCCCAACAATTGGTCTTCCAAATAATTCCTCACCCTGCTCATCATCCATATCTCACATTTAACAGAACATTTTATCGTACGAACATTGAGCTTTAGATTTTCGTTGAAGACTGGACTTTTCCCACCGCCATTAATGGTTTGAGTGGAGACTGCACTTTCAGGATCACTTGTAAGGCAAAGTTTTGCATAAACATCTTGTTTATGGTAAATGCAGATGTTGTGGATATCTCTAGCCTGATGTACGTACACGTCGAGAACACCAATGAAGTCCTCCATGTTGCAGATTTCAACATCCTCTCTATGAGCAGAAATTCCCCGGGATAGACCAGAAGCGTTCTTGCTGAAAAATTCATTGCTTTGCTTCTCAGAGTCCGCGAAAACGGAGGAACTCTTAAATGGTGACACAACAGACTGTGGAGAATCCATGAAGCTGACCACAAATATAACCTAAGAAAATCGAAGGATAAGATCAATATCAGATATCACATCGGCTAATACTGAACACATAGCTATGAACAAAAACTGAATGATCTCCACAAATTAAATAGCTTATAACAGAGGAACGGCTAGTAATTGAAGGAGTAGAAATATATTTGTTTAACACAAACTTGTTTTGGAGCACACAACAACTATACTGGAGTTCCCAACGAATGGTCTCTCCACACTATATGTCACAGCCCAAACCCATGATACGTATTGTCCACTTTGACCCTACAGACCTTATGGATTTGTCCCTTGGGCTATGCAATCATCGAGCCAAAATGTGTACGTATCTCTCATTTCAATGTGGAATTTACCTATTGTGTAACATGCTCCATCAAACAAGAACTAGAAGCTTTATTTAAAGTGAAACCTTAACGAATAAACTCGTTAACCTAACTCAGATACATATTAGGACCAAGTGACAATTATTCAGAGCTCATAAATGATAACATGGCAAATAAAGGATCAAAGATAACAACAAGATCATGTCAAGAAGAAGAACAATTCCACACATGTACAATTCATTACAGAAAGAAGTAAATGGAAACAAAAATGAAATCTTTTTCCTCGAATAGAACAAAAATAACCCTGAAGTGAAAGATTGAGATTGGAGCATCATGTTAATTGATTTTAAGATGAAGAATAATATAGCATAGAAGGCAGAAACAGTCAAAATCAGGAAATATACCGAAATTATGCTAAAGAATCAAAAGAATAACCTCCTAAAAAAAATAGAAGCCAAGTGCACAAAGCATCCTAAGAGGTGTGATGTAGACAGTCTACCCTGCTACAATCATCACTCGTTATTCCACCACTCAAACACTTATAGGTCACACTGATACAACTTTACCGTTGCTCCAAGCTAGTCAACTAGTTAACTCAATCTATTCTCCTATTTTCAAAAAGAATTCAGCTTTACTCATACCAAACTGAAAAAAAGCTAAAAGGAAGGAGAGACAAAACCCCAAAACACACCAAAAAGAATCACTTCAAAACTCAGGTTCCCTCCTTAAAGAAACAAATCACACAGCTCTGATCCTAAAAATAAACAGAACCCCATAAAGTATTAACTAATCCAGCACCTCTGAGAAGCAAATAAAGATAACAATCTTTAACTTCCAATCCTACCAAAGGGTTAAACTTAACTCAGACACCAAAGATAAAATAAATAAACCTACAAACAGAACCCCCATAAAGTACTAACCATTCAGCACCTCAGAAAAGCAAATAAAGCTACAATCTTTAACTTCCTCACAAAGTGTTAAAACTAAACTCAGACACCAAAGATAAAGTATATAAACCTACAAGTGTTTTAACTGTGCAGCACCCATGAGAATGCATAAAGCCACAATCTTTACCTTTCCCCTTAACTATTCAACTTAAATCCTGCACCAAATCTACATGAACAAAGCTACAATCTTTAACCCCTTTTCCCCTTCAAGACAAAAAAAAAAACACAAAACACACCTCAAAATCAAGAACAGAAAACAGTCTCAACTCAGAAACTAAACAAGCAAAAAACAGAACAAAGTCAAAGAATAACAACATAAACAACTAAAAGTCCAAGAACCCAATTCTTTACCAACAGACTGAGTCTCTGATTATCAAGCCAAAAATCTACCCAAAAGAGTGATCTTTTATGGAAAATGAAGAAAACCCAACTCTTAAAACGAAGCAAAGGATGAGAATAATTGTGATTTGCAGAGAATAAAATCAACAAGAATGATGATAGTGGATTTGGAAGTTTGTCAGAAAGTCCCCTAAATATTTGTGCTCTAATTTTGTACTATCTGTTGGAATTTTATACTAATTTTTGTAGATTAGTATTAGGATTTGTTTTGCATTTTTTAATACAAAAAGTTGAGTATTAGCCCCACAGTAGACGCCGACCCATTGCCATTGGCTCACTACTCCAATCAATGAATGGACTTTTTAGTGCGTTTAAACAGTTGGTGTCTGCACATTGGAGCGTGTCTACTACCTGCAAATTTCTTGGGATGTGACAACGTTACATCGTCGAAGATCTATCGAAAATAATATTTTTATATCCATTTATAGAATTGGTTAGATATTTTTTTCTTGAATTGATTAATCAAGCTTAACATATCGATAACTTTTTAAATTGTGAAAACAATCTCTTGAATGATATTTTCGTATTCTTTATGGATGGAAACAAAGGTCTTTCGTAAAAATGATGAAAGTTTAAAAATAAGTTTCTAAAATTTTATAAAATTAAATTTATTGGTAGATTTCATTCAGATAATTTTTAGTTTAAATTTTGAACAAAAAATATTGTATGTGTACTCGTACGTCCATATAGACTATGTCATCTCGTTAATTATATATATCTGCTTCAATTTGGAATAAGTTACAGAGAACATAAATAGAAGTTTTTATCAAAATTTAAACGCATAATGCATAAACATGATTCTTAACTTGATGTCATTTGACAATTAAGACCCTTAACTTTAGATATGCACAAATAGACACTTAAAATTGTATTATATGAAACAAACTGAAACATTCTTTTTACAGGACACCTTACATGTAAATTTTGTATCTAACATGGCGTCCTACGTGTATCACGCCATGTAGGATACATGTGTCTACTTGTTCAATTTTGTACAAGTTTAAGTTTTTACCTGTGCACATCCAAAATTAAGGATCATAGTTACCAAACGACGTCAAGTTAAGAATCATATCTATGTATAAAGTCAAATTTAAATAAAAAATATTTAATAGAAATATTTTATCATGTGTTCAATTGAAATAATTTGTAGTTTGATATTTAAACGAAATTTACTTCACAAGCTTAAAGGTAATAAAAGCACATATAGGAATTTAACTTTCTATATAACTCTGATTAACGTTTAGCATAAATACAAAAATAGTGTGTCAACACTATTGAATTTAACGAAATATGTAAATTCAAGTATATAGTAATCTTATGGATATTCTCACACTTTTTACATACAATATACTTTCATCAATGAGTCAACTTTAACATTTATATTAAAAAAAAAAAAAAAACTTTAAACAAATCAAATTCACATTCATCCAAGAAACTTTAAAAACTTTGTAAACATCAATTTATTTTAAAATATCAAATCCAAAAAATGAAACATTGGAAGAGGAATCTTGAAACAATAATTTTCATCATTTTCAATAAATATGGACGTAGAAAAATTTAGCATAAGATTACGAAAATGTAACCAAATTTTCTCCTTTTTTTTTTTTTTGTCAAAATATATGACGTTTCCACATGACTTATTTTTTAGTATGACACTTTTTGGTGAAGAAAAAAGACAAAAGGATAAGGTTCATATAAAAGGGGAAAAAAACGTCACGGGTGACCATATTCTATATTTTTGTAAAACTTGTATTCATTTGTTTTTCAAATCATGATCACCAAAGTTTGAGATAAAATAATATTTTGCTTAAATTAGATTTTTAAAAATTGTCTTTAAATATTTATTTGGTTATAGATTTTGATAATTCTCCTTTTAGA